CCCAAAATCAAATTCACCATGGAAACAGAAACAAACAAACAACTACTATTCCTAGATGTACTAATCTAAAAAAAAAATAGATGGCACACTAGGACACACCATATACCAGAAGAAAACACACACCAACCGCTACCTCAACGCCCAAACCCACCACCACCCAGCACAGATAAACTCTGTGGCCAAAACACTAATTGCCAGAACCAAATGCCTGGCAGACAAGACACACATAAAGACTGAACTATGCTCCCTGACCAATGTACTGACAGCCAATGGCTTCCACAAAAGCAAAATCACAGGCCTGATCCACAAAAACACACTGAGACATAATAGAGACCTAGAAGATGAACAGACCTATGGAACAGCTGTCCTGCCCTACATAAGAGGTACAACAGACAAAATCAGTAAGATACTACACAGGCATCACATCAAGACTGCCTTTAAAACAGACAGAAAAATAGCAGCCATCCTAAGAAAAACCCCAAAGATAAAATTGACCTGGAAAACCAAGGCATATATGAAGTCCCCTGTGCATCATGCCCTGCCACATACATCAGACAGACCAATAGAAGAATAAGTACCCACCTTGACAAACACAAAAATGCAGTAAAAAAGCTGGAACACACTTTCTCACTAGTCCAACACATGAAAGCCACAGGTCATAGCATCAACTTCAATGGCACCAAAACCCTAGCCACTATAGAAAACCGCAGCTACAGAATTATCAGAGAAGCGATATTGAAAAATGACCTGAAAGCATGAATAGAAAGATGATTCCACCAGTCTGTCAATTATTTGAAAGCCTGCACTCACAAACAAAAAAATCTCCACACCACTAGCCAGGCAAACACCTAGGCTCAAATAGACCACCCCCCCGGAGATACCTCCAGCCCAAACACACTCTAGCCAGCCACCCAGATGAAACCTAGCTTCCTAATAAATGATAGCTGGCCATTCACCCGAAGCCAAGCTGTGCTAAAAGCCCCTGTCGAGGTAATTCCCTGTTAGGAGAATGAGCGCATACAGGGAGACGTATTTGAGAGAAGTGTTTGAATAATACACACACAGCACACAGATACACTGTACAGTAAATGTAGGTTTTTTACTTTCAATAAAGGTTTAAGCAAAGTTCAAAACAAGCAGTCCAAAGTCATTCACAGGTTAAATCAGTCAGTTTTCAGTCCAGGGATAATCCAATATCAAAATCCAGTGTCAAAAACAGTTCAATATCAGACTTACATCAAATCCAAGAATATCAGTCAATTAGGAGGAACGGCAAAACTCTCCAACAGAAGGAAACAGAGGGACTCACTGAGACACACTCTCTTCTGAGACTAAGACTAAACAACCCAGGTTTCTGGCTCCATCTTATGGCTGTTTGAGAAACCACACCCAATTACAATTTTTTGCATTTTCTTAAAGATACAGTATTAAAATGTTTATCCTGGTTTATATATTTCCAACCCAAATAGCTGTTAGGTGACTTATATTCCCAACAGCCCCCAATACACAAAACACAATGTTGCCAGCTAATCAAGACAAAAAAATGCTACAAAACAGACAGAAGATATTAGAAACACCAATTAAGCAGAACACAGCAAATTCCAAGACCAATAAACACAGACCGAGATTCCCAACCAATTAGGATGAAGAAAAAAAACATTCTAACAAAGCATGAGGCTAGCACCAAATTTAAAACAGAAACGGCTGTGAAAACCTGACACACAGATGAACCCAATACACAAGCTTGATGATGGCAGATGAGATTCTGCCGAAAGGTCTCTACAACTTTAAAAGCAAACTATAATATATATAATTCAAAATTACTATGGAAAACTATATGACCAAAAGACAGTTTCAGAAGATAAAATAAATCAATACTTTAAAAAGCAGAATTACCTAAAATACCTGAAACAGTAAAAACCATGTTAGATGAACGTATAACAATGATGGAATTAACAGAAGCAATTAAGTAACAAAAGAATGGTAAAACACCGGGCCCAGATGGTCTACCAGCAGAACTTTACAAAAGCTTATAAAACATCTGTTAGGCATCCAGAAATTGTCCATGGTAATCAATCACTTCGAGACAAGTATAATCTCCAACTGATTTGTTAGGAACAGCCCTGGTATTTCTATGGCATTTCCAAAAGTGAAAGTCATTTTCAGCACATTTCACAAAATCCACCTTCTCTCCTGCCACTTCTACACTTCATTAATCACGAGAACCAATTAACTGCAGCTGGAATTTTTTAATGCGACATACAGAATAAACTTGAACTCCTCCACCCCCCTTCCATTCATGGCAGCTGAATCTCAGAGCTGACAGGTGTCCCCCCTTGAAAACTCCTCCTCCTAAAAGGAAAACAACTAAAACAGATACAGGGGTAAATACATTGTCTTTAACCCCTCTCCCACCTTCATGAGGATCCTTTGGTTTGTGGGGGAAATCCTCATGGAATTGGGTAACCAATTGATCAGCATGGATATCCCAACTCTTTACCCAGCTAGCATCTGAGAGAGGGTATCCCTTCCATAAGACTGAATATTGCAATCGTCCATGGTGTAATCTAGAATTGAGAATTTTGTTAATTTCATAATGTGTCACCCCTTGTACCATTAATGGGTCAGGGGGAGTGATTGGCACTGGTCTTATCATTGATGTAGCAACTGGTTTTAGCAAACTACAATGGAACACTGGTTGAATCTTCCCTAATAGTCGAGGAAGACTCAATTGGACAGATTGATTATTTGATTGATTATTTTTGAAATTGGGAATGAACCCAAGAATTTTGGGCCCAATTTCTTACTGGGCAATTTCAACCTAAGATACTTGGTTGACAAATATACTTTGTCTCCTACTTTAAAGGGTGGTTGAAAGGATCTATGTTTATCTGCCTGTTTTTTTATAATTTTTTGCAGCTTTGGTCAAAGCTTTTTTTGTATCTTCCCACCCTTTCTTTAATGAGTTCATCCATTCTGTTAGGGACATGGATGTGGGAGGTTGTCAAGGTAACTCTGGCATCGGGACAAAGTCCATTCCAGTGTTGATTTGGAATGGAGTCAACCCCGTGCTGCCATGTACTACATTATTGTAAGCAACCGCTGCAAAAGGTAATAACTCAGCCCAATTTTCTTGTTGATAATTTACATAGCATCTAATGTATTGTTCAGTCATGGCGTTAGCCCTCTCCGCTGCTCTGTTACAAGCCAGATGGAAAGCTGAGGGTAAATCTTGGGAGGACCCAATGCACTTCAAAAATTCCCTCCAAAATTTTGCGGTAAATTGTACCCCTCTGTCTGATATTATTCTACGAGGTACTCCATGTATTCTATAGATATGTTTCATGAACAGCTTTGCAAGCTTTTTAGCAGATGGAAATCCTTTACAGGCTGTAGTTTAGAGAATAAGTCAATGACGGTCCAAATGATCGTATTCCCTTCACTCTCGGGTAATTCCACAATAAAGTCCATTGTGATTTCTTCCCACAGTTGAGTTGGTTCAGCGACCTATTGAAGGAGGCCAGGGTTTTTTTCAGTTCTGTGTTTCATTGCGGCATAAATTGAGCAACTTTTTACATAGTCCTTGACATCAGGTTTCATTTTTGGCCACCAGAACTGTCTTCTTAGTAAATGTAGGGTTTTTAAGAATCCGAAGTGGCCTCCCAGCTGAGAGTCATGGCTATGCTTTAGTACCAGTAGTCTTAGGGTTGTGGGTACATAAAGCTTAGTCCCTTTCCAAGCTAGTCCCTCATTCACTGTTAACTCGTTTTGATGGTCCAGGAACCAAGGATTGGTCAATAGGGCAGTTTTCAATTCTGTGGTCAGCTTATCTTCCAGGCGTTTGGGGTTGTGGTTGCCTTGGGCTCAAGTGGTTACTTGGCCTGCCAATTGAGCTCCTGGAATTAAGGCTTGTACTATTTCCTCTCAATGGCTGTCAAACTGAGGTTTTCTGGACAGGGCATCCACCAACACGTTTTTTCCTCCGGGGATATATTTAATGTTGAAGTTGAACCGCTTGAAGTATTGGGCCCATCGGGCTTGTTTGGGAGATAATCTCCTAGGGGTCTTTAGAGCCTTGAAGGTTTTTTGATCAGTCCATACCTCGAAGGGCTCCTGCACCCCTTCCAGAAAGTTAATAAAGCCCATTGTACAGCAAATGCTTCTTTCTCCCAGGCCACCCATCTTCATTCTGTGTCTGACAGTTTTTTGGACACATAAGCGCAAGGCATCAGTCGATTTTGAGAGTCTTTTTGCAGCAGAATGGCTGCCACCGCTACATCACTTGCATCAGTTTGGACAATAAAAGGCTTAGCTGTGTCTGGGTGTTGGAGGATGGTCTCAGCTGCGAAGAGGCATTTTAATGTCTCGAAAGCTTTCTGACAGTCCATGGTCCAAGCCAGGGGTTGATTTGGCTTTAGTTTGGTGGCTGATGAGCCCTTTTTTAATAGTTCTGTCAACAGGAGGGCAACTTCAGCAAAGGTGAAGTTGGTGCAAAGGTGCTCCACCAAGGCAAAGAGAAAGGCAACCACCAATTCAAACCCCACTTGGAGCAACCCTGCAGGGGCCCCATTTTCAGAGAGGAACAACCCAGCCAAGCCTCAGGGGCCCCAGCCAATCTATATACGCACCCCATCAGGCTCCCTTCATTCTGATTCAACCTGAAGGTGCCAGGCCTGTACCACCTCCCCAACCGCGACCCAGACCAGACCAAATCCAGTTCAAAGCCATTTTCGATGGGCGTCATGAACATTTTAATTACTTCCTCACTCAAATTCGATCCCACATAGACAATTTGGAGACCAATACGTGACAGAGCACGATTTGGTTACTGCCATTACAGATGGGATGAATGAGTGGGATGCATCTGACTGGGTGGCCCAGCTACACAATAAACAAGCCCCAGAATTACAAAATGTCAATGGGTTTATTCAATTATTGAGACTCATATTCGAAAATCCAGATCGGGTGGCAGAAAATGAAGAGAAGCTAATGGAAATGAGACAAGGCAAGCAACCCTTTTCAGACTTTATTTGGGACTTTAGAAGGGTCACCAGCCATCTCATGGATTGGCCTGAAAGAATGACTTTACACTACTTTAAGAACACCATTGATCCAGAAGTGAAGAAGGCCTGTAACATAAGGGGAATCCCAGAGACGCTTCAAGCATGGTATTCCACCGCCCTCAGATTAGACCAAGACATCAATCCTACAGAGGAAACCCCTTCCTGAAGGCCCACCTAAAAGAATTGGGACCAGGCGATTGCCGACCAAGCCTGCTGGAGCTACTCACATCCAACCCAACATGATAAGATGTTACCATTGTGGCCAGGATGGCCATAGAGCAGCTGACTGTCTGGCTCCTGCACCTGTACCCTGATCACCACCATCAAAGCCTAACAAGGCTGTCAGAGGTTGGAAAAGTCAAGGAAGACCTCCCGACATCAGCCAGTTTGCTAGACCCAGCCTGGAGGGTCCTCTCTACGCAGAAGGAAGCAAGAAACTTCCAGAACAACATCACCTCCCTGAGAACCTGACCAATGAAGACAACCCAATGGTGAGTGCTCCCATCATGCCTTTTACTGTCAAAGTCAAGTTAGTGGTACCTAGTACAGGAGAGGCCAGGGAGTTAGAAGCTGTCATTGATACTGGAAGCTCTAGATGCCTTATCGGACTTCCTATCATTGAGCAATTGGGCATAAAGACTAAGTCATTAAGACACTCAATCAGATTTGAGCAACTGGATGGGACATTAATTAGGGGGATTCCAGCAACCCAAATGACAGAGTTGATCAAAATGGAATTGGGTCCTCACCACGAACTCATATGCTTTATAATGGCTCCAAGAATGTCCAAATCAATCATATTGGGACTTGCTTAGCTAGATAAATGGGCCCCTTCTATCAAATGGGAGGATGGGTTTAGGAAAATCATCATTGGGTTGGGACCATTGCTCCCCTTCCTCCCACTAAAGAACCACCACCCGACTTGAACCCAAACCCTGAACCAGCCGCTACAGCCTCCGACCTTCTCCCAGATACTCCCCAAATACCCAACCAATACCGAGACTTGGCTGAAGCATTCAATGAAGAGGAGTGTAATATTTTACCTCCACATCGAGCCACTGATTGCGCCATAGAGTTGGAACTGGGGGCGAAACTACCGAAACCAAAGATGTACTCCATGACACTGGCTGAAATGACTGAATTGAGGAAGTACATCGACAACAATTTGAAGAAAGGTTTTATGGAACCTGCCAAATCAAGTAATCAAATCAAGGTTAGCTGCCCCTGTGCTGTTCAAAGAGAAGAAAGGTGGCAGTTTGATATTATGTGTGGATTTTAGGGGCATAAATGCTGCATGCATCAAAAACACGTGTCCTCTCCCCCTCATGAAAGACCTATTAAACCACCTGTCAAAAGGAAAGGTAGATCTAAGAGAAGCTTACTACCGGGTCCGCATCAAAGAGGGAGACGAGTGGAAAACAGCCTTTAGTTGCCCTTGTTATGGCTGATAATTTGGTTATTACACCTGAGAATGTGAAGAGCCAAACTCAAGCCATTTTGTGTTCGCAGTCTGAATTTTTGAAGCTCAGAACATTTATGTAATGTGTTTTGTGCTAGAAATTATACAAGATTGCAAAATTATGTACTTGGCATAAGTTAGAGGTATGTCTGACATTATAAGGGTAATCTGACATTATAAATCACATTAAGAGATATTAATGGTTTTCTTATAATCTTCTAGTATTTGAATAACAGGAAATCTGACTGTAATGAGAATGTTGGGAGTTTTCCATGGAAGGTTGGAACTTTCTTATGAAAACGTTGTATAACTTCCATATATGGGAAACAGGAAGTGTTATGTAACCATGTGATTTGATAAACCTATATATTCACTAAATGGAAGGGTCTCTTTTTCTCCTAAACATGGTTTTGGAGTAAGGGATCTGGTACTGCAGTATCTTACCTAATAAAGCATCCTATGGATCAGATTATCAATAGTCAGTTGATTCATTTTTATGTACTTCTCACAATTTTGGCAAGCTGCCAGGAGATAGACTTTTTTTTCTTCCTTTGGACAGATGATTTTTTTCAGGACTGCAATGGCGCCTCTCCACTGGGTTTGTGAAGGCAGTTGCTGGGTCTTCTGCCCAAGGGAGGGGAAATTGCTCTTAAGCCTTGACTGATAATCTGTGATAGTAGGAGCTTGGAATGGCCGAAGTTAGGTACACTGGGGGCTCAGGTGAGCTGAATTTAATTAGTAACTTTTAACATTGTGTTGCAACATTTCCTAAATTGCTTTGGGGTTGTTTAGAGGGGTCTCAAAATGATTTCTGTTTGACGTGTGTGTGAGTCTACACTGTTTCTCCCTGTCATATTTTGTGTTAAGGGGGTTAGACATTTTTTTTGTTTAGCAAGAACAAGATGTTTGTAAGGTTCCAGAGTTCTCTCTCCTTTTGGAGAGCTGGTTCAGCTTTTGGCTGCTGGTATTTAAGTATTAACCCCTTGATGAGTGATACAGATTGTACTGTTCAAATTTGGAGAGTGTATTGTATATATGTATTGGATTGATGCTTGATGCCTTAAAAGCTGTGTTAAACAGTTAACTGTTAACTCTTTCTATTGTCTCTTTTAATGCTATGTTAAAGAGTTAAAGAGGTTAGATGCCCAGGTGATTTATGTTGATCTGTGATATGTGGAAGGCTCCTTTCCTCTCAGTAAGAGATTTTATTAAGGAGGGGGAGCCTCTGGAATATGCTAGCTGTTTATGCTCGTCTCCCCTATAATTTGTTCCAGCTGTTTCAGATGCAGCTGAGGGTGAGAATTAAGGGGGGCTGTTTCACAGTGCAGAGAGCTGAAATATGAGCTACTTTGTGAGAGAGAATTGCAAGGATTTTATGTTTGGAATAGTTATAAAATTTAAGGCAAAGGAATTTTATTCATAGTGTGAAATGCCTAATAGTCTTACAGTTGTGTTACTACCTCTGTTTTGAGGAATAATAAGCTGTCAGTGCTGTGGTTGCAAAGTGTTCCAATAAGGAGTTGTTCCCTGGTTTAACCATTTATATTTTTGTGGAGTTGTAGCATATTTTGGATTATTTGTTTACTCCAGAAGGGATATAGATACTATACTCTACTAGTATAGTCTACTGCAGGAAATACCTGGTAATATACTGGCTGGAATAGTCAGGGCAGTTTAGTACAAGGTATTGAAACTGATGTGCCATGAGGGTGGAATCTGGCTAGAGTTTTTTTTTATAAGTCAGTTGAGAGATAAATCGTCAGCTAAATTCTTGAATAGAATTAGGGACAGTGTTCTGTTTTTGCTTCAGAGACACCAGAATACTAAGCGTTAATGGAACTGCAGTTTGTGACAGAGGCCACGAAAGTTTTTTTTTAAGTTGTGATGTAATGAAGTCTTGTTAGTTAATTAATGTTTTCTGTGTTAGAAGCTGTTACGAAGCTAGAGACAGAGCAGAGATAATAAGTCAGATGGACTTGGACTTGTAATAGTTAATAATAATTACAGGATTGAAGCTTCATATACTGGAAGTATACTGTAGTATACTGGAGAAGGAGAGAATAGAATTTCTTTCCTGGAACAGAAATAGTTGCTAAAGAAGTAAGCAGTGTTATGCTTGTGGCATTTTGTGAGAAACTGCCCAGACAAGCAGAGAATGCAGCAGATGCTGTATACCCTAATTGAAGATTAGGGAGGTCAAAGGCTTTTAACACTTGAGTCCCACCAAGAACCTTTAGTAAATGTAAAGGTGAGACCTGAGGAAGCAGTTGTGTTTTCCTAATAGATACTGTAGCCAGAATTTCTTTAAAGTTACCTGAGGGTATTACCCAGGTAGGGAAAACTATGATGTATCTGGTGTTAAGGGAGAGCCTTTTGATGTTGCTATTGTTGAAAATGTGTCTCTAAAAGGAGGACACTCTGAGATAACAATGGATGTTATGTATAACAATGGATGTTATGAAGCAGGTATGATGGGATGCTTTGTCCTTATTAGGTTGTGCTTATCTTTTTTGAGGATAAGTGTACTGTTCATTTATTGACTGATGAACAGGAGAGATTTATAGATCCCATAGTGTGGGAAGTGAAAGGGAATAGAGGTATTATGAATATTGCACCTGTGGAGGTGATATTGAGCTAGTGAGGTGGAAGCAATGTGATATTTCCCTGGAAGGGAGATGTGGCTTGAAGCCAGTGACAGAGTCCCTGTTAGGGGATGGGCTAATTGAGCCTGCAATGTCACCATACAATATACTTATATTACCTGTAGAGAAACCTGATGATTTTTGATGTCTAGTGGTTGGTTGTTGTAAAATCACTTAGTGATTATTACACCAGACCCCTATATGTTGTTAGGGGGAATTCCATATGAATACAGGTATTTTAGTGTGATAGATTTGAAAGATGCTTGGACTTGCCCAGTAGTGAGGACTGATCCAGATACGCATTGAACTTGACAGTATCGATGGTGTGTTTTACTGAGAGAGGTTCTTAGAAAGCCCTACTTTGTTAGGACAAGTGTAGAGCAGGTCCTTGAGGGTTTTGAACTGCTTGTGGGTAAAAAGGTGTTACAGTATGTGAATGATTTGTTGGTATTAGGTAGAAGAAGAGAGATGTTGAGAAAGGTGTAAATGCTTTGTTAGATTTCTTAGGACAATAGGGTCTAAGAGTTTTAAGGAAGGAATTGTAATATGCGGAGTCTGACTTAGGACATTTGATCAGATATGGAAGCAAGAGAATCAATCGAGAGAGAGGGTTGAGGGGGATAGTTAGATAATCTATACTGGGAACTAAGAGAGCTCTTGTGTTGAGTTTATCTGAGTTAAAGAAACCTTTCCATTTGTAGCAGTAGAAGAGGTATAGCTACAGGTATTTGTTCTAGCTTAGGTGTGAGCTGGGAAGGAGAAACTTATAGCATTTTTAAAAAAATTGATGGATTTAGAAGTGCATGATTGGCCTTTGTATATATAGACAGTAGCTGTTATGGCTATAT